TTGTGCAAGGGCAAGTGCCGGGCCGTGTTTTTGGGCACGAAAAGGTGCAAGGTTGGATTTGCTTTCCTGCCAAAGGGCTTGAAGGCAGAACAAGGGACTCTGGCCAGGTTCACTTGCAGTGCCAGCAGAGCTGCCTCGCCAAGACTCCTTCAAACCTCGTTTGAACATCTCAACTGATAGGACTTACCACAGGATCCCGGTGCAGGCCCTTCTGACATTCCCGAAGTTAGGAGTTTCGTGAGTTGTTCGCGCACCTTGAAGAGGAGTGTTGTGAGCTCTCTGCGAGAGGAGTGCCTGCAGCTTCTGTCGGTTCGAGGCTGGGATCTGCCACTCAGAAGCACCTCCTCTCGCTTGACCCAAAGGATCCCAAGTGGCCAGAACCTCCAAGCATGTAGGGCTGCCCTCTAAACGCTAAAGCGTCCCGAGCCCCTATGAACACCCGGGGAGGCATCTTGAAAGGAGTCAGCTGGGGTTTTCTTGTGAGCCCTTGAGGATGGCCACCGTGAGCGACGTGGGAGACGAGGCCCCACTCTCAGCTCGACACATTTGGGTCCTCCAGCCTCCTCCTCTTTCCCTGCGGTCCTCCTGGGCAGGTTTAGGGTTTGGCATGTAGGGTTTGGGGTGTAGGGTTTAGGGCTTGGGGTTTCAGGGATTCAAGTTTCGCCCCTTGACGCACGTTTCGGGCGGTGTGTTCTGATGTTGCCGGCCCTATCTGAAGCTTCCAAGCTCTTCTTCCGCCCATCACACGTGCGCAGGCTGTGGTGAGACAGGTGGCAGAGTAATCGCAACCGCTGCTTCTGTCCATGCCCCTCCCTGGATGGAGCCGCAGGCAGATTCCGCGCACGCCGAGGTTGGAAGCCACTCGTACGATTTCGGTCGCTGCGGAGTGCGTGTCAGGGTGTACTCGCTGTGGCAAGAATTGCGCAGCGCTCCAAGATCAATTCCTTGTGGCATGACTCGTGGAGCCCAGTAGTCACGGAGGACTCCGGCTAACTGCTGTCTTGCCGAGAGCACCTTGTCGCCGCGCTGGCTCTACTCCCCCGGATAAAGGCGCCAGTGCGGGGAAGGAATATCTGGGGTCCACAGCACTCAGGACCTCCGCCCCTCTCTGACAAAGCGGGCCATGCTCGGAAAGCCGACGCCGCAGTGCCGTGGGGGCCCTGCAGGGAATCGGAGCTGAAGCAGCCCATTCGGGCGTATCTGCGCCAGGCCTAGTGGCGCTGCTGACCTCCCGCGGCCGCGAGACCTGGTGGTCGGACGTGGTGGAGTGGGCGTTGCGCCGGCTTGGTCTTTGGAGCTCATGAAGCCGGAAGCCCGGCAAGCCCCGCCCTGAAAGCCCTAAGTGAACCGCAAAACCCTACACCGCTCTTGACCCCTAAAACGCCCAAGCCCTCCAAGCCCCTGAGCTCGACTCCGATCCGCAGTTTCGAAGCATTCAAGAAGTGTTGTTTAGGGTTTAGGGTTTAGGGTTTAGGGTTTAGGGTTTAGGGTCTCAGGCCTAGGGTTGAGGGTTGCTTTGAGGAACTCTGCAATCCTAGAAGAGGAGGGTGCTTTGTTGCGTGGCATGTTCAGTCCGTCTCCCTTTGACGACCACTCAGTCAAGTATGCAAGCTTGCTGCTCTCCAAGTGGTGTTCACTCCTACTCCCTAAACCCTAAACCCTAAACCCTAAACCCTAAACCCTAAACCTTAAACCCTAAACCGCCAGAGTCTGCCGCAGCTTCATGAGCCCAGCAGCTTATGGGCTGTCTTCTACTCTTTCCCAGAGATCTCCCTGTTGAGGCGCTTCTTTGAGGGTGTTGTCCTGCTCGCACGTGCCCACGCTTAATGCCGGTGAAGAAGGTGGCAAGCAGACTTGCTGCTCCAACGCGACTGCCATTGGAGTTGTCGGAGACAGACTTCCCGATAGTTCCCCTTCATTTTTTTGCCAGCACGCGCTGCGGAACATGAGAGGTTGCTTCGAGGAAGCGTGTTCTTGCTCCCTACTTGGTGGAAACTCCTTGAGTGAGTTCAGCCTAGCAGAACACGGCCTGTGAGAACTTTGAAGGCACTTGCAGACCTTCGGTCTTCCGTGGCATTCGGTCGCGATGATGCCGAGTTTTTCTTGCCCTGTTTCAGGGGAACCTTGCCGTTCAAGTTGATTGATGCTGGCAAGCTCTTGCAACTCCAGGCGGGTCGAAGCCATCGCTGCCCTGGAAACCTACGCTTGAAGGGAGTCGCATGCCCATTCATGACGTCACCATGAAATAGAAGGGGGCCTGAGTAGAGTTTAAAGGGGGAGGTTCTGATGCACGAAGCATGCCCATCTGCATCCCCTGCGTGCTCCGATGAAGTTGCGATTATGGGCTCCCCCTTGTCGCACCATAAGGCTCCTGGAGCCTTACGAAGTATCAGAGAAAAGATTGTACAGGAAGGTTGCAGTGGACTCTTTATGCGTGCAAGCGCCGTGGTTGAAAGGCATATCGCTCCACTGGCTCGGCTGGCCCTCGCCCCAGGTTTTTTCGGTCCCTCCTGCCGCTCACCTGGCATCCCGGAGAACTCATTCGCCCGAGTTTTGCTGGACGGCAAGTAAGGTTCTGCTCGCAGGGACGAACACTACTACTTGTCCCCCTCATGTATGTGGGAAGAGCGTCCAGCTCTTCAATGCGGGCAGAAAAAAAGCGCGCATCAGGGGGGGTTCCCTTCTGCACCTAGGCAGAGGAAGCAGATCTTTCGTTGTTCACGGGTTTCTTTACTACCCCCCCTCCATACTACCCCGTCATCGGTTCCCCTCAAAAAATTAAGGCTAGGTTGTGCTGTTTGTGATTGCGTCGTGGTAGAAGTTCGAATGGTGAACCCTAAGCCCTAAGCCCTAAACCCTAAACCCTAAACCCTAGGACCTCGTCACAAGACACTGCTAAGAGACGTCTACCTCAAAGAGCAGCGCGCGAAATCGGGTGTCGAACCTGCTTCAATATCCTGGGTTTAGGGTTTAGGGTTTGGGGTTTAGGGCTGGATCGAAGAAACTCATGCCCAACATGTCTGTCGGCTCAGACTCATGTGAGTAGTAGTCCACGTCTCCAGAGAGTATTTGCCACTTACCTTGCGCAGCAGGGAAGGCATGTTACACAAGGAAGGATGCCATGCAAGTTTAGGGTTTAGGGTTTAGGGTTTAGGGTTTGTGGTAGCAGGTTACACATTCCGAGACAAAGTGTGGGTTGCTGGCCCGCATGTAGTGACACCTAGAATGGTGGTTGAAGCAGGAGGCCCGTGTCAAGTGGTGTTGCCTCTGAAACCACCGTCGCTTTCGAACAAAATCCCCCGCGCAGGTTTTTGCGCTTCGACACCCCCACCGTCGCCGAGAGGGTTGTCACTTTCGAAAACCAAAGCATGCTTTAGGGAGAAGGGCTGTTAGTTTTGCACAAAAAGCCACTGCCACAATGCACAGATGACCACCTGCCACGTCGAAGTCAAACAACGCAGAGCAGAGAACGCAAGGAAGACGATGAGGAAACGTACTCCGCTTTTGTGGGGTTCAAAATTTGCTTCTCCCTCCCTAATCCAAACGACGCGGACTTTGGGGCACCTCGTTCCCCTGGCAGGATCCCAAAAGTAGAGCCCCCAAATAGTACCCCATACTAATTGGGTCATTCTTAGGTACCCTTAACTTAGTAGTAGAGTAGGTAACCTTTAACTTTTTGGGTTAATTAATATATTCCCCTTGTAATCCCAAAGGTTAACCTTTCAAACCCCTAGGTACTGGACAGCTAAGTTAATTAAGGGGATCTATTTTTTGGATCCTCCCCAGGGGTCTGGGTACCAAGGGCCCCTGCTTCAGCCTGGCTGAAAGTTGGTTCTGCTTTGTTGGGACGCCGGTTTTTGGGTTTAGGGTTTAGGGTTTAGGGTTTAGGGTTTAGGGTTTATGGTTTAGGATCTAAATCGGCCTGAGGAATTTTCTTGAATCCGCTCTCAGTGAGCTCATTTGCTACAGTTTGAGACGCTCGCTTACCTGGGCTGGTCTGGTTTCCGTCCTTTCGCGACGGTGCGGTGGTGCTGCAATTCTGTCTTGCTGCGTCCTCTCTGGAGCTCTAGCTGTGGTTTCATGTCTGGTTTGCTCTTCCAAAACACTCTCGGGACATTCGACCTGCCTTGTCTAGCGCCGCGAAACGATTAAGGGATCCCCCCAAACGGGGGAGCGTGGACTGGGAGAAAGGCGGGAGGCGTTCGTATGGAGGCGTTCGATCCGCAGGTTGCGGACCCTTGAAAGGGTTTCGGGTTTAGGGGTTACCGGTTACCATAAGGTACCCTAAACCCTAAACCCTAAACCCTAAACCCTAAACCCTAAACCCTAAACCCTAAACCCTAAACCCTAAACCCTAAACCCTAAACCCTAAACCCTAAACCCTGAACCCTGAACCCTGAACCCTAAACCCTAAACCCTAAACCCTAAACCCTAAACCCTACACCCTAAACCCTAAACCCTAAACCCTAAACCCTAAACCCTGAACCCTAAACCCTAAACCTGAAGAACCCCCAAGAGGGCCACGGAACGGCCTGAAGGGCCTTTTGCGCACCCTCCGGATCCAGCGCAGAGCTCCGAGAGAATCACTTGGGCCATTCCCAAAACAGGTATCCCTTTTATACCAAAAATTGAATAGAATCCCCCTTAAAGGAATCCCAAAAAGGTACCCCTACTTCGGACACCCCCACTTAGCAGCAACAAAGGGCACAGGCTGAAATGGTTGATGGAGGCATCGTGGGCATCGTGTTCTTTGGGGGTGGGGGGCCCTTGAAGCACTCCTCGCCCAGGCCTGCGAAATATGCTCAAGAGCTGTCCGCTTCGCTGATGGCTGCCCTGACATGCCCTGCCGGCAGCGTTGGCCTTGGCTGCCTTTTGCATGCCCAGGATGTGTCAAGGCACCACTGGCATTGACGCGATGAGTATGCAGGCCATTTTTGTGCTCGAGGGGCATAGCCGAGCTCGTCCTTGCTTGAAGGACACATCAGAGTACAGTAGGCCCCATGGCTCCTGCTCTTCTCGCACTCCTCGCAGCAGCAGAGCTTTGCTGGCGCGCAGCCAGCCTTGATTTTGATTGCGGCTGCGGAATCACCGTGTTTGACGGCTTCGTGAACGATGACGACTGCGACTGCTGGGACTGCAGTGATGAGCAGCATTGGACCTGCTCCAGTTGCCAGCCTCAAGCTGGTTGCACCGACCTCGGTTGTCAACGAGTGCCTGGGTGCGCAAATGGCTCAAGCGCCACAAACTTTTCCGGCACAAACTTTTCCGGCACAGGCTTCTCCTGCAGCAGTGGCTGCCCTGTTCCGGCCAGCTACGAAAACGACAATTGGTGTGATTGCCCAGACTGCAGCGACGAATCCGAGCATACCTGCGCATCCTGCGGCTGCCCACAAGACTGCTTCTCTGAGAGTATTGCTTGCTTCACCACTACCACAACCCCAGAGCCGAAATTCGCGTGTTCTGCTGCCTGCGATTGGGCTGTGGACCTCTGGCAAGTCAACGATGGCCGGTGCGACTGCCCAGGCTGCGAGGATGAGGACGACTGGACGTGCACGACGTGCGCCTGCCCATCATCTTGTGGCGATCCCGGAGTTCGCTACTGCTACAGCAGTAGCGGCAATCTTGGTACACAACTGACTGGCTTCATAGTGGCCGCCTTTCTCATTGTCCTCTGCCTCTTTGGATGTATTTCTGCACTGGTATGCTGGTGCTGGAAGGTGCATTCTCGCTCTTCAGGCCCGCAGCTTGATGCGGGTCCGGAGGCCGTGGTCATCGGGGGCGCGGCCAAGGTGCGGAACTTCACCTCCTTGCAGCTGGTGCCCTTGTCCGAGGAGGCCTTCTCGGTCGTGCCCGGCTATTGGGCCAGGAGTGGAGGGAACGGAGGGAACGGAGGGAATGGAGGGAATGGAGGGAATGCTTGCTACCAGTCTTTGTCTCGAGACCAGCTTTCCTTCGATGAGCTCTTCTACGTCAGCTTCGAGAACATCCGGCTTTTCCAGGACCTCATGGACAGGACCTACCGCCCCATCCCCACCCAAGACCGACCCTGCCCCACACAGGCTCATGGCAAGACACCCGGGGGCTGCCCTTGCGTGCGACCAGGGGGAGTTCCCGGGCTGCCGACGGGATTCCAGGTGAAGCGGGTCATCCGGGTCGAGGACTCGGAGATGTTCAACCGCTATGTCGCGCGGCGCGAGCAGATCAAGGCCCGCGGCTCCTGCGCACCCCCCGACCCGGCCTTCTTCACGAGCGTGGCGATGGGAGACGCCGGAATGGACGGAATGGACTCGGTCTTGGCAGAGCTCCGCGGCGACCTGAACGAGACCTACCTGTGGCATGGCACCCGAGTGCGAGCAGGTTTGCGGATTGCCCAGGACGACTTCCAGATGACCTTTGCTGGGTCGGGTGCGGGGACAATGTATGGCAAGGGCTTCTACTTCTGCGAAAGCTGCACCAAAGCAGATGAGTACGCGCAGGACGAGCCAGGCGGCTACTACGACGACATACGCGCCCTTCTTCTTTGCCGCATTTGCGCGGCTCGCCTGTCTGGTCCTAAATCGAATTGATATCTACAGGGTGGTTTCACATGTTTCCCGGTTCACTTCATGTTGAAATAGGGGCATCATAGAAGCAAGGCTGAACTCATGGCCTGTTTCTTGCTTGAGCTTCAGGTGGGGAAGTTCCACTACACCCTGGATCGAGAGCCTTCCGCCATCGACCACTACCAGTCGGGAAACACGGACAGCACCATCGGAGACCGCGCCAAGTCTGTGAACACCTACCGGGAGGTCGTGATCTACGACGCAGATCAGATCTATCCCGAGTACCTGGTCATCTACCAGCGCCTGTTCCGGGACGACGCCAGGCAGCCTCTCCTGAAGGAGCTGCCGTTTTTGCTGGAGCTCCCTCTCTACTGGACGAATGTGGGCAACTTAGTAGTAGAGTAGGTAACCTTTAACCTTTTTGGGTTAATATATTCCCCTTGTAATCCCAAAGGTTAGCCTTTAAAACCCCTAGGTACTGGACAGCTAAGGCAAGAACCCCTTCCATGAGCACTTCAGGGAGCACTGGCTCGTGAAGCAGGATGTCAAAGATCTGATCCAGAGGTTGGCAGACGGCCGAAAATGATGAAACCCCTAAACCCTAAACCCCAAACCCTAAACCCTAAGCCCTAAAGCCCTAAACCCTAAACCCTAAAACCGAGGTTGGCAGATGGCTCTTGCAGCGGCGAGCTGCGCCAGGTGAATGAGGTGCACCGGGTGGAGGACTCGGGCCTCTGGTGCCGGTATCTGCGATGGAAGAAGGCCATGAGCAGCAGCAACCAGGCCTGTGTGCCGCCCAACGAGCTGGATGGAGATCCCGAGAGTGGCCATGTCCTTACCGACAAGATCTTGGCGGACTTCCATGGAGATGAGGCCATCAGTGTGGAGAACATGGCCCCGGGCCTGAACGAGATGTTGCTCTGGCACGGGACCTCCCCGGAAGCCGCGAGGGCCATTGCCACCGATGGGTTCCTGATCAAGTCCACCTTCTCGCATGGCCGGCGCTTCGGTGATGGCGTGTACCTTGCAGAGGACCTCGGCAAAAGCCTGTCCTACTGCAAGGAGTCGGATGGGATTTCCTACGTGCTGCTCTGCCGAGCGACCTGTGGGCACATCCACTACACCGAGGAGAACTATGCCGCCCAAGCTCACGTGCGCGCCAAGAGCCTGGGGAAGACCTGTGTGCTGGCCAATCCTCAGAAGCAGGGGCCCCGGGAGTACATTCTGTTCGAGGCAGATCAGGTCTATCCCGAGTACATCGTGGAGTTCACCAAGAAGGGACAGGCCAAAGTGAGTGGCATCTTTGCCGGGGGGACCCAAGGGGCTGAAGATGACGTTGCCGAGGAGACCGGGACTGGGGGGGCTGAAGATGCCGCTGCCGTAGAGGCCGGAGGGGCTGAGGATAACATGGCGAACGTGGTGTAGCCCGTGGCCTGAGCTAATGCGAAACAAGGGGCTGCGTCCCCACGAAGAAAAACCGTTCCTTTGACCATCTGTCCTGGTCCTCATCTACTATTTGCTTAAAGAACTCCCCAAAAAATGAAAGAGAAGAATCCCTATACTGCCCTTATAAGGAAGAGCATCTTTCTTTTTTCTGGGTGGGGGAGTTCTTAAGCAAATAGTACTCATAGTTTATCAACACTTCGAAGAAGTGTGCGAAGGATTTAAGGCAAAGGATCTGTACTCGCCGCCAGAAGCTGAGCGAGAGGCCAGAGCAATGCTACGCCTGGGCCGTTCTTGGGAAAGTCTGCCTTGCCTGCCCATGCCCAGGGTTTAGGGTTTAGGGTTTAGGGTTTAGGGTTTAGGGTTTAGGGTTTAGGGTTTAGGGTCTAGGGTTTGGGGTTTAGGGTTTAGGGTTTAGGGATTAGGGTTTAGGGTTCGTCTCGTCAGCTTAGAAGTCGGCTGTTCTGCGTTTTGCAAACGCCTCTTGTCACGAGCTTCTGCAAGCTGCGTCGTGCGGCCAGGAAAGCTTCTCCGGCTCGGCGTCCTGGAGGTTCCCGACAGCGCTTTGGGGATGAAGTTGGATAACCTGTTTAGGGTTTAGGGTTTAGGGTTTAGGGTTTCGGGTTTCGGGTTTAGGGTTTAGGTTTCAGCTAATATTAAATCCCCCCAGTATAGTTATATTGCAGTATATAGGGGGTGGGGGTGGGGGTATTATGGGGTATTGAATATAAGGGGGTAGGGGAGGGGGGGGCTTACAATATTAGGGGGAGGGGATTGCCGGATTCTACTGGGAGAGCCTAAAGCCTAAAGCCTACAGCCTAAAGCCGAAAGCCTAAAGCCTAAACCCTAAACCCTAAACCAACCCTAAACCTCACCAGGGAGCAGAGAGCTCTTGTTTTGTCTTTCAAGAGTGTAGGATCTAGTCCACAGCCTGTTGAGGCCCGCAAGTCTGCAGGCTGAGCAGGCTGAGCAGGCTTCACAACACAACTATTGGCTATTAAGGGTTTAGGGTTTAGGGTTTAGGGTTTAGGGTTCCGGGCTTAGGGTTTAGGGTTTAGGGCTTAGGGTGTAGGGGTTTAGGGCTGAGGGCTTAGGGATTAGGGTTTAGGGTTTTGGTATTACGATTTTTGCGACCATTATATTACTACTATTACTACCACTATGATTACGACGATCACTATTATTTTGCCGACTATTCCTACCATTATTGTTCTCTAGCATTGTCATCATTACTTTTGTTACCGTGTTTAGTATTCTTACGATCTTCCTATTTTTACAAGAATTTTGTCTGTACACCTTGCCACCTTGCAGGCGCATGTTAAACCCTAAGCCCTAAGCCCTAAACCCTAAACCCCAAGCCCTCAACCCTAAAACCTAAACCCTAAACCCTAAACCCCAAACCCTAAACCCTAAACCAGCATCTGGCGCTCGCAGCCATGTGCAGTGGTTTGCGTCTGCGGCCTTGGCTCGAGATTCCAGAGGGCACGCCCTTCCTCTGAACCGACTTCCATGTCTCAAGAATCCCTTCTTAGGGTTTAGGGTTTAGGGTTTAGGGTTTAGAGTTTAGGGTTTAGGGTTTAGGGTTTAGGGTTTCAGCCAGCTTAAGCAAGATCAGGCTGGCCACTTTGTGCTTCACAACGTCTTGCTTGAAGCCCCTCAAAGCTCTCCGCCGACAGCCATGCGGTGGGGAAGCTCGGTCGCCGTGGCCTGGCTCCTGCTCCTGCCAGGGGCCATCGCGGGAGGCTCGGGGTTCAGGGTTTAGGGTTTAGGGTTTAGGGTTTAGGGTTTAGGGTTTAGGCTACTTGGAGGATCATGGTACGTATTCACCAAGCATAACTGTACTTATACCTGTGCTCACAACCATATTAGGGCACTTAAGGGGCTTATAAGTGGGTTTTTTAGTGCAGTTATACTTGGTTAATAAGTACCATGAACCTCCAAGTAGAGCCTATGGGTTTGGGATGGTGTTGGGGGGATCAGTTGGGTGCTGAGTCAGTTATTATTATTTTTTTTTCTCTCCGGGTTTCTGGGTGCGGCAACAGGGTTTAGGGCAAGGGTTTAGGGTTTAGGGTTTGGGTCCGGGTTTTTTTTTTTGCAAAGGTGTGGCTCGGCCCTGTCCCCTTGCAAAGGTGTGGCTTGGCTTGGCTTGGCTTGGCTGGGCGTGTCCTCTGACCTGGCTTGGCTCGGCTTGTCTGGCTTGGCTTGGCTTTGGTTGGCTTGGCTCGGCTTGGCTTGGCTTGGCGGCTTGGCGGCTTGGCTTGGCTTGGCTTGGCTTGGCTCGGCTTGTCCTCTGGCTTGGCTTGGCTCGGCTTGGCTTTCGTTGGCTTGGCTCCTTGGCTTGGCTTGGCTCGGGTGGGCTCGGCTCGGCTTGGCTTGGCCTGGCTGGCTTGGCTTGGCTTGGCTCGGCGTGGCTTGGCTCGGCTTGGCCTGGCTTGGGTGCCGACTTCGTTTTGATTTCCCTGTTCTCCCCAGTCGCAAAGATTCTTTTTACCGCGATGTAGCTGTAGCTGGTAGAAATACGTGGAGTGTATATATGTAGTATGCGCAAGCATTGAGTTTGCAAATGGCTGCGCCCCCCCAACCCCCCCGCTTTTTTAAGCCGTGCAAGCTTGCGTCAAAGCATATGAGTCTTGTTGAAACCCATGATGCAAGCATTGAGTTTGCAAATGGGGGGGGCTGCGCCCCCCCCAACCCCCCCGCTTTTTTTGAGCCGTGCAAGCTTGCGTCAAAGCATATGATTCTTGTTGAAACCCATGATGCAAGCATTGAGTTTGCAAATGGGGGGGGCTGCGCCCCCCCCAACCCCCCCGCTTTTTTTGAGCCGTGCAAGCTTGCGTCAAAGCATATGAGTCTTGTTGAAACCCATGATGCAAGCATTGAGTTTGCAAATGGGGGGGGCTGCGCCCCCCCCAACCCCCCCGCTGGCTTGGCTTGGCTTGGCTCGGCTGGGCTTGGCTTGGCTTGGCTCGGCTTGTCCTCTGGCTTGGCTTGGCTCGGCTTGGCTTTCGTTGGCTTGGCTCCTTGGCTTGGCTTGGCTCGGGTGGGCTCGGCTCGGCTTGGCTTGGCCTGGCTGGCTTGGCTTGGCTTGGCTCGGCGTGGCTTGGCTCGGCTTGGCTCGGCTTGGCCTGGCTTGGGTGCCGACTTCGTTTTGATTTCCCTGTTCTCCCCAGTCGCAAAGATTCTTTTTACCGCGATGTAGCTGTAGCTGGTAGAAATACGTGGAGTGTATATATGTAGTATGCGCAAGCATTGAGTTTGCAAATGGCTGCGCCCCCCCAACCCCCCCCGCTTTTTTAAGCCGTGCAAGCTTGCGTCAAAGCATATGAGTCTTGTTGAAACCCATGATGCAAGCATTGAGTTTGCAAATGGGGGGGGGCTGCGCCCCCCCCAACCCCCCCGCTTTTTTTGAGCCGTGCAAGCTTGCGTCAAAGCATATGATTCTTGTTGAAACCCATGATGCAAGCATTGAGTTTGCAAATGGGGGGGGGGCTGCGCACCCCCCAACCCCCCTGCTTTTTTTGAGCCGTGCAAGCTTGCGTCAAAGCATATGACTCTTGTTGAAACCCATGATGCAAGCATTGAGTTTGCAAATGGGGGGGGCTGCGCCCCCCCCAACCCCCCCGCTTTTTTAAGCCGTGCAAGCTTGCGTCAAAGCATATGAGTCTTGTTGAAACCCATGATGCAAGCATTAAGTTTGCAAATGGCCCCCCCGGTGTTGGAACCCATGATGCAAGCATTGAGTTTGCAAATGGGGGGGGCTGCGCCCCCCCCAACCCCCCCGCTTTTTTAAGCCGTGCAAGCTTGCGTCAAAGCATATGAGTCTTGTTGAAACCCATGATGCAAGCATTGAGTTTGCAAATGGGGGGGGCTGCGCCCCCCCCAACCCCCCCGCTTTTTTAAGCCGTGCAAGCTTGCGTCAAAGCATATGATTCTTGTTGAAACCCATGATGCAAGCATTGAGTTTGCAAATGGGGGGGGCTGCGCCCCCCCCAACCCCCCCGCTTTTTTTGAGCCGTGCAAGCTTGCGTCAAAGCATATGAGTCTTGTTGAAACCCATGATGCAAGCATTGAGTTTGCAAATGGGGGGGGCTGCGCCCCCCCCAACCCCCCCGCTTTTTTAAGCCGTGCAAGCTTGCGTCAAAGCATATGAGTCTTGTTGAAACCCATGATGCAAGCATTGAGTTTGCAAATGGGGGGGGCTGCGCCCCCCCCAACCCCCCTGCTTTTTTTGAGCCGTGCAAGCTTGCGTCAAAGCATATGAGTTTTTTTGAAACCTACAGGCAAGCATTGAGTTTGCAAATAAGGGGGAGGGAGTCGGGGTGGTGAGAGTGGGGGGTGGGGGGGAGTGGGAGGGGGGTGGGGGGGGGGGGCGGGGGTGGGGGGGGGGTGGGGGGGGGGGGGGGGGTGGGGGGGGGGTGTGGGGGGGGGTGGGGGGGGGTGGGGGGGGGTGGGGGGGGGCTGGGTGGGACGGGGGGGGGAAGGGGGTTACCGAGCCACACCTTTGCAAGAGGACAGGGCCGAGCCACACCTTTGCAAAAAAAAAACCCTCCGCCGGTTTAGGATTCAACAGGGTTTAGGGCATAGGGTTTAGGGTTTAGGATTTAGGGTTTAGGGTTTGGGGCGTAGGGGCATCATTCCCGGACGTGTTTTCGGCCAAGAACTGGACCCTGAAGACCTGAAGCCCCAAAGCCTACGTTTGTATGGGGTTTAGGGTTTAGGGTGGCTTAGGGCTTGGGTTTTAGGGTTTAGGGTTTAGGGTTTAGGAGGGTTTGGGGTTTAGGCTTAGGGTTTAGTGTTTAGGTCCTAAGACCCGAAGCCAATAAACACACATAAACGCCCTCTAAACCAAGGGCTAACGCCCTCAAAACTCAATGACACACCATAACACCCTATAAACCCTATAAGCCCCAAACCCCCAAAACCTCAAAGGCCCTCTAAGACCCGCTCCCGGAGTATAACACCCTGTCAGCCACAAACCCTGT